CACGCCGCAATCCCTTCTCCTCCATTCTCCTCTCGGGATCTTGGGCACGCACGCACACGCGCCCGGTGTGAGTTTTAAGCCACCGGGTCCGGGACACGAACCGCGGTCGACTACGTGGGAGTCCAGCGACATAGCCATTACGCTAACTGCTGGTTCCCAGCCTGCATTTCTATAGACTTATCAGCACTACCTCCATTCTGGGAATTTGACAGAATCATTTCAGGAGCTTCACTGATAAGACATATGCTAAGATACCTGGATATATATCATAGTTAGGGCATTAGTAGATGTAACAATTGAAGGGCCAGCAGGTGGCATAGTGACCAAGGTGCTGGATTCCCACCTGGCCAACTGCAGTTTGAGTCTTGGACCCAGTGGCTTGAAAATCATTCTTGGCACATGTGCCCAAAATTCCAGAGAATGGAGGAGAAGAGATTGCCGAGTGGCCATTCCCCTCTCCCTGGTACCTGGGGGTTGGGGGGGTGTGATTTCTCACTTGACCTTTCTCTGTCTTTCCAGTGAGCGCATGCACCCTATGACAAAAATCAAAAAAAAAGAAAACAAGATGTAACATTTGAAATGGCCTCAGAACCATGTAGCAAGTGAAATGATGTTAGTGGTCTTATTTAAAGTAAGAAATTCTGAATTGGAAGGAAGTTAGGTAAAAACCACCCACCTAAGATATAAGACCTTTTTATCAGATTGTCATGTCATGTGAAAAAAAGTTGAACTTATAATATCTTACACATTCTGTAATAGCATACTGTGACACGACAGAAAATACCAGTGCTACAGTGTTTGAAAATGTCTGCTTTGGTGTGATTTCAGCGAGGAGGACATGTACCGTGATGCAGATGAAATAGAAAAGGAGAAGGAATTGCTTATACATGAAAGAGGGGCATCAGGTATGTTTGGAATTGTTTTATTTATAAAGTTCTTACCGTTTATAGTAGAAAACACAGTTCATTCAGTATATCCATTTTTCACAAAATATCAAGATACACTTCTTAGGAAGTATTCTCATGCCTATGATCTTATGGACGTTCGTTATTCATTTTGTTGAAGTATGTTCAGGGAAAACAGTTTTTAAATTTTAATGTAAGTATTTTCTCTGTATTTTTCCATGCTTATATTGTTTCTGCACCTATGAGGATTGTTTACCTACTCTCTTGATAGCACCCTCCTTAGTTCTTGATTTCCTTGTATCCTGAGAGGGAGAGTTTGGATTTGAAACACATTTGTCTTTTTTGCTAGAAGGCACAGATGCTAGCCAGAGAGAGATGGAGGGGAGAAAGAACTTCCCGTAGGGAATGATTGTGCCACAATCCTCATCTTTCTCTCCTTCTGGGATTTTGAGCACTTAACTAATGCATGCACATATGCCTAGCATGTTTCTCAAAACGTCAAGTTTGGGACACAGACTTTGCAGTTGGCCTTGTGGGATCCAGCTGCCTTAACCACCAGGCCTTGGAACCGGCCCAGAAATGCATTTTTCATTTCCAATTGAAGAATTTATTGAGAAGCTGATTGTGTATGTCTTTGAGTGCAGATGGCCACGTGAATCTGATTGGCTAGTAAAAAAAGAACAATCATGAGACTGAGAGGATGAATTCTCATTGTTTCATGATTTCATGCCCCTATCTCTTGTCTCTCATGCCTGTTCTTCTCTCCCACCAAGGCCTAGCTGCTGGAGGGAGGTGTCACTCCGGCCCTGCATTGGTCCGTGGAGACTCGCCAGTAGGACTGTGTTGGGGAGAAGCATATCCTCACTTCCTTGTCTGCCTTGTACAGGAACCAAGTGGGGAGATCCCAGAGAAAATCCACAGAGTGGCATTTTTTCTCTTGTTACCTGAATGCAGTGTATGTGTTGCACTGGTTTGTTTTGAGAACTGGCTCTTTTCTTCATGGTTACCAAGAGCATTATCATATGTGTAGTTAGGAGCAATTGGTACGTATGGGGGTTTAAATAATGGTTTCTGAGTCTTCCTCACAAGGAATTGGGAAACCCTTCATGGTGGTAGTCAGAGGAGATCTTTATGGTGGCCCTCCATCCAACTTCAGAGGATATTTAGTCTCTACTGCTGTGGTTGCTCAAAGATCAGTAGGCACATTCCTAAGGAGAAAGTGGGGATTCGGCCGTATTTACTTCTGAAGGACTGCCTGTTTTCTCTCCCATTTTACAGACTCCCTGCTGTACTTCTTTTCTGTCTGGCATTGTGGCCCACACAGGTGTTCACAGTCTTTGAGTGGCTCTTGTAACTCCCAGCTGTAGTCTGAAAGTAAAATGGATACCTTTATACTCCTTGCATCTCAGTCCCTCCTGGTTCCTTGTCCTCCTGCAGTAGCATCCTTTGGAAGGCCCCTCTCTTCTGAAGCAGAGCCCAGAGGAGGCAGAAAGTTTTCCTTTCCTCTCTCTTTGTTGACGAAAAGGTTTTGTTTTGGTTTTTTAAACATAATATGGGAATCAGCAAGCTATGACTCCCAAGCACATCTGAGCTGCCACCTAGTCTTGTAAACAGTGTTATTTTTTGTTGTATTTTATTTATTTATTTTTAAGGTTTTTGCCATAGGACATGTGTAAATGCCTTTTGTTTCTCCCTTTTCAGTAATCTGTAAGCCCACCCAGGATGAGAACCTATTTATCACCTTCGTATCCCCAGTATGCCAGTTCAGTGTTTAATGGGTACTAGGCATTCAGCAAATATTTATTAAATTGAGTTGAATAAAGCCTTTTTATATTAGATAGAACTTCCAGGAGTAAAAATGTAAAGTACTTTTGTGTTTATATTCAGAAGTGATCACGGACATCTGTGCTCTCAATAATTTAAAAAGGAAGTCAAGATATGCCTGAGAATTCATCTAATTTTCTTCCTAAAACACACACACTAATACGTGCTTGCGTGTGTGTACGGGTATACCACAAAATTAAACCCTAAATGCATTCGTTAACAAGGGAAAACTAAAGGCTGTTTTGTTACTCTAACATTTATCTGTTTGTGAGTTGTATGTTTAATTTTGGGGTACGTGTTATTTGACTCAAATGAGGTCTGTGAATCAACCAGCATTGAAAGATGTTAGTTTGTTTGGTATTCATTTATTATTGCCATGATACAGTCTTTTGAGACCAGGGCAGGATACAAGTAAAGACAATTAAACGTAATTTTTATACCTACTATATGAATAGTAGGTTTTATCTTCTTGTGTAATGGATATAAACAACTAGTTATAAACGATTAGAAGTATTTTCTCTTAGTTCAAACTATTGCACTTTTAATTTGATTAGAAGAGCACTCATGGACACCTGTCTGTCAGTGCAGCACTAGGCACAACAAAGCCCCTGTCCTCAAGGAGCTCTTGTTTTACTGTGCCTGTGGGTATGTGTGTGGGGCTACGATAAAGGAAATACATTAGGTGGTGGGAAGAGCGAGGAAGAAAAACAAAATGGTAGAAGAAGAATAGAGAGTGCAGGTGCGTGTGTCATATTATGATGCCAGGGTGTCAGCGGACACTGCAGCAGAGCCACGTGTGTTGAAGAGTGTTGGGAGGCTGCAGTGGGGAGTGGTGCGGGGAGTGGGAGCAGAGTCAGTGTAGGGGCTGAGGCCAAGGCAGTGAGGGGCCTTTCAGAGGGATGCTTATTAGGTAGGAAGGACCTAGATTTCACTTTGAGTGAGAGGAAAGCCCCTGGTGCTCTCTGAGCCCAGGAGTGATGGCTGTCACCTGACTCCTGATTTAGATGGTGCACCCTAACAGGTTGTGATGTGGAAAAGGGTCTGGAGGACATGGTGACAGGAAGCCCGTTGGGAGACCCTCTCCCCCACCGTGACTGTCTAGGGGTGAGGTGATGGTAGTCTTGACCAGAGGGCAAAACTCTGAACTTTTTGAAATGAAGTAACAGAATGTAAGGAGTAAAGGGTGACCACTGCTCATAATTCTGATGAGGCTTAGATCCATTATTTGCTTTAAAATGAAAAAAAAGGCTTTTTTGTTATTTTTCGACAGGACCCCGATTAAGTGTGGCTCCAGAAATGGATATCATGGACTACTGCAAAAAAGAATGGAGGGGAAATACAGAAAAAGCAACGTGTATGAAAAAGGTATGACACAGGGGTGGGTGCACGGGTTTTAGGTCTTCCAAATAGTCTCTTGTAAGTTCTTATTTCATGTGTCATTTTATATTTTTAGACATTAGTTAAGACTACTACTATTAGATTTTGTAAATATTGGTTTTCTAGTTATAGACAAAAGGAAACAAGACTCCAGAGATAAGGGACTTTCGAGTCACAGGGTTAATACCGAGTATCAGTTATTTAGTAATCTAATTTTTTTGAAAAACAAATCATTCTGTGCTGTTTGTTGGTGGGCCAGCCATTGGTTGTCCTCTTAGGGTCATTTGGGAATGCCCTTCCTGGCCTTGTGTGGTCAAAGCCTCAGGGATGAGGATGGGCTGATTGCACATTGAGCGCTCTCTCCCACCCCAGCCTGGGTTATGTGTCCTTCAATTCTGGGAACCTACAACCATCCTGCACTCCCAACCCAGAGACAAATGGAACTGCTCCCTTCGTTTCTGACATCCCAGGAGGTGCCCCCACATTATGTAGATGGGTGACCTTGAGATCACTGAAGGCCTTAGGAACACATCAGGGAAGCCTGTGACAGGGTTCCACTTTAGCTGTTTGGGCTGTTTCATTCATCAGTTCAGACAACTTGGCCCACTTCTCTACAGCCGATTGAGTGGCAGATTCTGTGGACTGCTTCAGAACAAGCCCAAACCCAACTTTCCTTATTAGTTGATTGGACTCTGAAGTTGCTATCATTTGATTGTTTTGTTTTTCTTTTCTGAGCTATGAAATGGCAGTTTCAACCTAAAGTAGAACTTTTACCACTTCCTGTAAACTCTAGGTTATGGTTTGCTCATTTTTCTCTTGGAATTATTTACATTATGAATTTGAATGCACTTTTTGTGTACTGACCTGTCATATTTGAAATAAATACCTCCTAATAATTTTGTTTAGAATTTGTTTAGGAATTTATTTATTATGTTGGGTTATTGGAAAAGTCATGACGTATTTTTTCTGACAACCTAATAGTTTTTGGTATAGGACACATGTGTTTGCCAGAGAAACCTAGAGACAGAGAGGCACAAGAGGTGGGGGTGGAAAGTGACTTGGGGAGATGGCCACGCTGCAATCCCTTCTCCTCTTGGGATTTTGGGCATATACACACAGATGTGCGTGGCGTGTTTTTTAAGCCTCTGGATTGGGACTTGAACTGTGCAGTCAGCTGTGTGGGATCTAGCTGCCTTAACCACTCACACCTGCTGGTCCTGTTTAGGATTTTAAAATTTAAATATTTGAACACATTTATTTTCTCAGAGCTTGTTTTACAGAAAATCTTGCTCATTTTTCAGCATGCACCTCACCTGCCTGGGCTGACTTAGCTGTAGCTACCACTTGTAAAGCTCTGAGAGCAGATACAGTCTCTCTTCCTACATGTCTGTTGTGTAGACTGTGTTAGGCACTCGTTAGAGAACAGAGTCAGGAAATACTGGGACTGTCAGTCCTGCCGGAGGGTAAGCACATTTATATTTGTGGGGCTGTCTGCTAAATATGCTATTGACTGTTTAGGTTTCACCTCAATCTTTTTTTTTTTTTTCTGAGAGGTTTTTGCTGTAAGACGCATGCACTTGCCGGAAAGGCAGAGAGAGACAGAGAGACAGAAAGTGAGAAATCACCCCCCAGGGGGATGGCCACACCGCAGTCCCTTCTCCTCCATTCTCCTCTCGGGATCTTGGGCATGCACGCACACACGCCCGGTGTGAGTTTAAGCCACCAGGTCTGGGACTCGAACTGTAGTCGGCTACATGGGAGTGCAGCGACATAGCCATTATGCTAACTGCTGGTCCCTCACCAGTCTTTTCAAAGCTTCTGTTCTAACAGTTGACATCCTAAAGTCCATAATTGAAAATATCTGGGACCAGCAGATGGCATAATGGTTATGCCACTGGACTCCATTTAGTTGACCACCATTCGACTTAAGTTGACTCAGCATGATTTAAAAGCTCATACCGGGCACGTGTGCGTGTATGTGTGCATGCCCAAAATCCCGAGAGGAGAACAGAGAAGAGATTGCAGTGTGACCATCCATGCTGGTGGGTGATTTCTTGTTTTCTGTCTCTCTGGTGAGCGCATATACCCTGTAGCAAAAATCTCTCTTAAAAAAGAAAAAGTTCTGAGTTACCTATTTTCATATTTTGGAACTCATACTTAAATCATTCCTCTTTGAGTTTAGTTCCAGGATAAGAAAGAATTGACACCTACAGTTGGACTCCTTCAGTGATCAGATGATTAAAGGCTTGTCAGTTAGCAACGTGTCTCCTCAGATCCCAGGGCAGTAATTGGAATATTGCAGGTGCCTGCTAACAGCTCTGATCTCAGTTCTATTTTAGTTCTGATTTGCCTACTTGTCTATTTTTGTTTTGTATTTTCTCCTGAAAGTAAATATGTATAAATGCAAATGAAACTTTATGGCATTTGATTCACCTCTGAAATAGCCTGAGTAATTTATATATGTATTTAAGATTTTATTTAACTTTATTTATTTATTTTAATTTGACCAGAGAGGGACAGAGTGAGAGAGAGGGAGGGAGGGAGGGAAGGAGGGAAAGTGAGAAAGCAAGCTGCCAGATCCAGGACTTGAACCGCAGTTGGCCATGTCAGAGTCTAGTGCCCTTAATCACCATACCACCCGAGTAGTTTATGCATTTGGAATTTACCATTAGAAATATTCCTGAGCGGATTGAAGGTCAACTGTAGGAACGAGGTGTATAGCAGGGAGTGCGGTTCTGGGCCAGCCAGGTGGTGTGGTTGAGGTGGTTGGATTCCATATGGCTGTGTGTGTGGTTCGAGTACTAGACCCAGACGCTTTTGAGGAACATGCCAGGCACATGCGCATGCATGCCTAGAATCTCAAGGGAGTAAGAAATGGAGGAGAAAGCATTGTAAGATGGCGGCACCAGACAAATGCACCCTCTGGGGAAAAAAAAAGTGCATGTATATGTGGGATTCTGCCAGATGAGTCCTTATACTTTCCAGGGGTTGGACTACTAAATAAAAATGCAGCTGTCAGACTGGCCCTGTAGCTGGTAATAAAGGGGAGTCAGATCCCACATTGCTGACCATGGCTTAAATCCTGGCCTGGGTAGCTTAGGAAACTCTCTGGGCACGTGTGTGTGCATATCCAAAATCTTGAAAGGATGGCAAAATGTGGGAGATGAGAATTGTGGCGTGACCATGTTCTACTGAAGGGGTGCTTTTCTCCCTTTCTCTCTTTCCATCTCTCGCTGGCGAGTGCACGTGCCCTCTGGCAATTAAAAAGAAATAAATAAAAATGCACCTCACAAGATGTTACTGGGAAGATGTGCCTCATGTTCACTTCGAATATCATCCTGTGACTTTGAACCTTGAAAGCAACTATTACTAAGGTTCTAGTGTGTGGACGTACAGGGCGAAGTGATCTGCACTGTGCCCCTGGTGAGGGTGACACTCTTTTGTGTAAGCGCAAGGTAGGAAGTAGCTTATAAGTGACTGTCAGAGAAGAGTGGGACAAGTGAAAGGGCTGACTGGACTGGGTGCCAGTGGGGTGGGAGAGTGAAGTTGGTCCCAGTGAAAGAAAATGAGGAAATCAGGGTGTTGTGCATGCCTATAGTCCAGAGCCACTAGGATTTCATGGGGCCCCTTTTTAGGATATGTTTCAGAGTGGTCCATTTAGATGGCTATTTTCAAGTGACCAAGCATGTCACTGAATATCACTGAACATTTTCATTTCCTTTTACTTCCAGACTGAGTAAGAGACGCCACCATTTCTTTTTCATTTTCTTTATTACTATAATGTGCATGCACTTGCCAGACAGAGAGACAAAGTGAGACATCATCCTCTGGGAAAATGGCCATACTTCAGTCCCTTCTCCAGATTTTTGGGCATGCACACATACTCACCTGGCGTGACCTTTAAGCCACAGCATCTGGGACTCAAATTGCACAGTCGACCACGTGGGATTCAAAGCATTAACCTCCACACCACCTACTGGCTTGACACCTCCACTTTACACACACACACACATACACACACACACACACACACAAAAGAAATCTGACAGAATCATCCAGACAGCTCCTAGCATAGAGTCTTAACATACACATACTTTGGAAACTTGAGATTTTATTTTATTTTTTATTTTTGCCAGAGTGCATGTGTACTTGTAGGGGGGAGAGAATGTCAGAGAGAAAATAAAGCTGCCCCTCCACCCATGAGTAATGTTCATACTGCGATCTGTCTTCCTCCATCTTGACCTCTTTTTGGGGATTTTGGGTGAGCGCACACATGCACCCTGTGTGTTTCTCAAGCTCCCAGGTCCAACACTTAGACGTACCGTCAGCCCTGTGGGATCCACCTGCATTAACCATCACACCATGGGCTGGCCTGAAACCTTGCATTCTAATACAGAGAAATCAACTTAGTACATCTCCTTCTTTTTTCCAGACCCTTCATTAAAGAATTTAGAGTTCATTTAAACCTAATAAAGCCTTCAAAATGTTGGTTATCAGTGAATATTATACCTGTTGCTTAGAAAGGGACATAGGACTCAAATTGGGGAGCGACTGGTACCTTAATACTTGATCATTATTTTGTGTGTATAGTCCATTGCTTTGGTTAAATATGCTGATATTTAGTAAATAACTACTGTAATAAAAAGGAACTTGAATGTCTTACATGAAAGACGTAGCCAGTCTTACTTCCATTTTTCCAGCAATCTGGGGCAGATATTTTACACAGGAATGGACGTCTGAAGTCAGTAATGACCATTTGGAATTCTTTGATACTTTCTCCCAGGGCTATGAGGAGGTTTCTCAGAAATTCACCTCCATAAGGCGAGTCCGTGGTGATAATTACTGTGCACTGAGGGCCACGCTGTTCCAGGCCATGAGCCAGCCGGTGGAGCCGCCCCGCTGGCTGCAGGACCCAGAGCTCACGCTGGTACGCTGTTGCTGCAGGTTTGAGTCCTCAACGTTCGCATGGTTTCTGGGAGAAGACTTCCCTTTTCTGCCCTGCCACCTGCTGGCATTGTCTGTAGTAGGACCTCAGCATTTGAGTTCCTCCTATTTGTCTGACTGGGATGATTGTACATAGTGAAGTGACCAGAAATAATTGTATTTCCCAGAAGAGAAGAAGGATAAAATGTATTTGAACAATTCACCTGACTTAGAGAGCAGGTTAGGTTAGAGTTTATATTATTAAAAAGTACTGAAGGAACAGTTTGATTTCAATTTTGAGTTATGCACACACATATATTTAAGACGTTTTTCCTTAGGACCTGTGTGCTTGCCAGAGAGAGAGACAGAGATAGTGAGAGGGAAAGTGAGAAATCACCCCCCAGGAGGGATGTCCACACCAGTCTCTTCTTCATTTTCCTCTTGGGATCTTGGGCATGCACACACATGTGCCTGGCATGAGTTTCAAGGCATCGGTTTGGGAGTTGAACTGCAGTCAGCCATGTGGGAATCCAATGACGTAACCACCATGCCACCTGCTGGTTCCATTTTAGGGTTTCTGTAGAGTGGATTATATATTTTACTATTTGAGAACCTGCCAAGGTTTTAGAATACACATTTTTTTAGTTCTAGCTATAATTCAAGAAATTAGTACCTCTTGCATCATGTGAGGATTGGCTTAGTAGGTGACTGAATAGCCGCATTGGAAGAGGGATGCTTGATAAAATGTGGAGAGAAGCTTCCCGCAGAGATTTGGGGTCAGAGTCAGGGCTAATTCCCAGGCCCTGTAATGTTTTAAATCTATTGCATGGTAGAGATACGGTGAGAAGTTGTGTGTGCCTGTGTCTTGTTGCAGATAGGATCCCATAAAGGGTAGAGGAAAGAATATCCCTAAATATTTTGCTGGGCAAGAATGATTGGTTAAAACTGATAATGCGACATTAATTGGGAGAAACTTGGAAGTCCTTTGTTTAAATTAAAACAACAAAACAGCGCCAACTCTGTAGCACTGTGGTTAATTGTAGGACATAGGAAACTGGATCCCACACGGCAGATTGAGATTTGAGTCCTGGTCCCAGTGGCTTGAAAAGCATATCAGGTACATGTGCATGTGTGCCTTAAAATCCTAATGGAAGGAGAAATGGAGGAAACAGGGTTGTAGTGTAAGCATGCCCCACTGCAGAGCGCTCGCTCTCTCCGGGCAGTGTATATACCCTCCAGCAATAAAACAAAACAAAACAAACTCAAAAGTGCTAGCTATGGGAGACTTGCCTAACCACATTTTATAAAAGGGAAAAAAACAGCTGTCAGGGTTTTAAATTAATTGATCATAAGTCCTCTATGAGCCTTGGTGTATGAAATATGATAGCCCACAATGGTGACAAAACCCCGGCTGCCTTTTAAGGGGAGAACTTGCAGGAATCAGGCAGTGACAGTCCCACCTTAACTGAACCAGTCAGAGCCCATTTTGAACACTGATTGAGCTCTCTGCCTGTGTGGTCAGTGCAGATGAGAATGCAGCCAAGGCATTCGAGAGCAGTCCAGGAGACTGGGGTGTTTGCCTAGAATAAAGAAGACTTTTAGGGGAAACTTGTTCCTGGCTAAGCTAGTTAGAAGTCTGGTAGGTAGATGAGGGATTTCATGGCTCCGAAGGGCAAAATGAGGACCATGGATCCATGATGACCTATTTTATAAACCAATATAAAATCTACACACCAGACTCACCTTGAAGCACAGCAATGTAGCACTGCACAGAGGAAGCCAGATCTCACCTGGCTGACCAGGGTTTGAGTCCCCTCTCTGGTGGCTGGAAAAACCACACTGAGCACATGCACGTGTGCCCGGGATCCTGATGGGCTGGAGAAATGGAGGAAAAAGGATTGCAGTGTTAACTGTACCCCACTGGGTGATATGGTGTTTGCTTACTCTTCCTTCCCACCATACCCCCACCCCCATTTAAAAAAAATCACACTACCTAAACTGTTAAAATAACACATGTGGTCTAGCCTGGTGGGTGGTGCAGTCAATAGAATGCTAAACTGCAGCACTGGGGACCACACAGCTTACCACGGTTCAGATCCCCAGCCTAGTTGACCTGAAACACATCAGGTAGGTGCATGTGCCCAAGATCCTGATGAGCTGGAGGACTTGGGACAGGGGCTGTAGCGTGTGGAGACCCTGATGAGGTGCTTCCCTCCCTCCTCCCTCTTTGCCCCTCTTCTCACATGCATTCTTAATCATTGAAACAGACAAAAAGCCAACAAAAACTGTGCTAGAGAAACAAATGATGATTTCCTGGTTTTTGCTTTGCGTGTTTCAATTTCTGTGCTTAATTACTTAACATTACTTAATTTATTGATCATGACATAAAATTCTCCTCAACTTTAGGTGAAGTTTTCCTTGTGAGCATTTAGCTTTTAGGGGCTATTTAGATTTCTGGAATTAATTGACTTTGACTTTGAATTTTTATACTTTTTGAGGAACTCTGGAGCACATAATGGCCTATGGAATTAAGCATAAAAGTAAAGCACAGTGTCCCTTTTCTTTTACAAACAGGCTACGTATTGTATAACATCATCTGACAATAAAAATAGTCTACGTTGATTGCATTTGGTCTCTGATTGGTGTGTGGGGCTTTAAGGTTTTTTCTTGATTCAATTTGAAAACGTTAAATAGTTTTTAAATTCTTGATTACTCTTTTCAGTTTCTTCCCTTCTCTATGTGCATCAGCCAGTGTATTTTTCTCTTGGGAACACAGTCTACTTGGTTGTTCACAGTGGTATTATTTTTGTCATCTAACTTTTACTGAATGCTGAGAGGCCTGTGTCAAGAGAAAAAAAACACATCATGCCTGCCTGGGTTAAGTACTTACGTGTACTTTTTTTTTTTTTTTTTTTTTTGATAAGTTTTTGCTACAGGATGTGCATCAGCCAGTGTATTTTTCTCTTGGGAACACAGTCTACTTGGTTGTTCACAGTGGTATTATTTTTGTCATCTAACTTTTACTGAATGCTGAGAGGCCTGTGTCAAGAGAAAAAAAACACATCATGCCTGCCTGGGTTAAGTACTTACGTGTACTTTTTTTTTTTTTTTTTTTTTTGATAAGTTTTTGCTACAGGACATATGCGCTCACCAGAAAGACAGAGAAAGACAGAAAGCGAGAAATCACCCCCCCCCACCCCCCAGGGAATGGCCATGCTGCAATCCCTTCTCCTCCATTCTCCTCTCGGGATCTTGGGCACGCATGCAAATGCGCCCCGTGTGGGTTTAAGCCACCGGGTCTAGGACTCAAACCACGGTCGACTACATGGGAGTCCAGCAACATAGCCATTATGCCAACTGCTGGTCCCAATACTTACATGTATTAAATTTTTTGTCAGCTGAAGAAATGACTTCATTCTATTCTTGCTCTCATCCACCTAGAGGACTTGTCCTTGTGGTATGTTCCTGACCCAGCAATTGAACATAGTTTGAACACTTTCTTACCCAGTCTATTTTTTGTATCACTTTGAGACCTGAAGAGTGACAGATTCACTGCATGTTTTGTATTCGAGGTGGAGGAAGGAAAGGGGTAGACTACTTCCTCTTCCCCCGGCTGGCCCTCACACTCTCCCATGATGCTTTCCTGTCCCGTTTTCTTGGACCTCCATCCCTCTTGTGTTGGAAAGGCCACTCTGACAGGGCTCCATTGAGAGAGCAAGTGTGTCTTGCAGTGTGACTGCAGAAGTGTCAGGGTGGGACCTTTAGCCAGCTGCTCTGACTCTGCATGCAGACTGAGATGTCCTCCACTGCCTCGGGCAGTCTTCCTTCTCTCCTGGAACATCATTTGGTTTCAAGATAATTAAAGAGAAGCGGGAGAGCTAGACTGAGCGACACTCTACTTAATTTGGGCTCAGTGGAAGACACCTGAACTCCTGTCTGCAGCTCTGCGGCTCCTCTGGCTTTGCTCTCTTCCCTGCCTAGGATCTGAACTTTGTCCTTACTGCTCCTCCTGCCAGGGGGCCGCCCTCTCAGCTCTGTCATGCTCCCTGGGCTTCCTGCTTCTGTCCGGATCCCAGTGTTCTGTTAGACTGCAGTTGGATCGTTCAACCTTGACCCTAGTCTTGGCAACGGCTTGGATTGTCTTATATTTGGTGTAGCACCTCTGTCCCTGTGAGCATGTCCTTTAGAGCAGGGGTCCTTTGGTTTCCAAGTTCGCTAAATTTTTTTTTTTTTTGAGAGATTTTCACTGTAGGGCGCGTGCGCTCGCCAGACAGACAGAGAGAGACATAGAGACAGAAAGCGAGAAATCACCCCCCAGGGGGGATGGTCACGCCGCAATCCCTTCTCCTCCATTCTCCTCTCGGGATCTTGGGCACGCATGCACATGCGCCCAGCGTGAGTTTTAAGCCACCGGGTCCGGGACACGATCTGCGGTTGACTACGTGGGAGGCCAGCGACATAGCCATTACGCTAACTGCTGGTTCCCCCAAGTTCGCTTAATTTTAAGATGTCCCTTAAATGGGTGGGACTGTGACGATGTTTGCTTAGAGTAGAATAGATTGTATATTAAAGTCCTTTCGTCAATTAGTTTTAGGGTGACTCATTTTTGTTACTTGTTGTTGTGATATCAATAATTATAGGCATTTGCTATAGTTTGGTCATAAATGAAATGACACCTAAGCTAATTAACCTGCTTTATTCTTAAATATCGCCAGTCATTGTTTCTTGTTTAAATCTTGGTGTTTAAGTTTTCCCTATGCTAACAGAGTCTAGTCTCCGTGCTCATCAGTAGGAGAGAATGGCTGTCTGCGTGTGTTCCATATCTGATGACCCCTGAAAGCATTTTAAGTTATATATATTTTTTTCTTCTGAACGAATAACTACAACTCTACTGTTCTTTATAATAATTTTTTTCATGTCTCATTTTATAAATTATCTCCAGGACTTCCATATCATCTAGAAGTATGTGACTTAGCCCTAGATGATTACTCCAGCAACAGCTTCACCAGTGCATGGAAAGAATGAGGAAACTGACTCCTGCTTCCCCTGTGTGCCGAGATCTGTGGGGTCTCCAGAGTAGTTCAGTTGATTGTCGTGCCTGCTTTTCAGATAACTGCACATGTCACAGGACATGCGCCTGGTCTTCTGGGCTTCCTGTCACCTTTCCCAGCCCACATCTGTGTAGCCAGCATTTTCTGCTCAGTTGTCTTTATGCCCAAGTTGTAATTTCAGCTTGTTTCCACTTGAGGGCATGTTAGGTTCTGGTGAGAAATCCGAGAGGGAATTGAGGATTTTGTAGCAGAACTGTCACTCGTTGCTAAAATGCAGGACAGTATGTCTGGGCTGGCGCCAGGTGGTCATTTCTTTTTACAACGACATGAAGAGAACTCGAGCCCTCCTGCCCCTTAGTGAGTATGTAGATGGCCATCAGTTTTTATAGAGATGGAATCATCTTAATTTCACGTGAATGCTATAGTTTGAGAAGGCACAACTGGAATTACCATTCATGAAAGATCTTTGAAGTCTTAGATTCTAGTAGAACTGAATATATGGCCTACTTAAAATAGTATTTATTCCTGTTGAACAACTTCAAGTTCCTTGTAGGAGTGGTAGGATTCGATTATTCTTTAATGACTTTTGACTTGGAGGTGAACATTTTTCCTTTCTAAATAAGTTTCATAATGGTCAATCAATATGCCCATGCCCAGCCTAATTACGTGGTTTTTCTCCTGATGGAAGAGTCCAGTCCAGTTCCCATCCTGTCGTTGATCAAGCTGAGTCTCAGAGTTGATCAAGCTGTGTCTCAGCTCGCCTCTGAGACTCCAGATCGTGTTGATAACTAGGGGGAAACAAAATAACAATCCCAGGGGAGGTGTGAGGAGACAAAAACAAGCAAGGTAGCAGGTCACTTGGCACTTCTTTCATGAGCAAGATGGTCATAGCTCTCTCACCCTGCTGCTGCTTCTCAGTGGTACTTTGACATCATACTATATTGATTACGCTGTTAAACTAGATACAGTATCATCTCTTTGCATATTAAAACTGTGTATGTGTTAATATTATATAACAAAAAACTTTTTCTGCTTTTTTGTGGTGGATTTTTTTTTTTGGAGAATTTTTTTTTTTTTGGAGAGGTTTTTGCTATACAGCACGTGCGCTCGCCAGACAGACAGAGACAGAGAGACAGAAAGCGAGAAATTACCTCCCTAAGGTGATGGCCAAACCGCAATCCCTTCTCCTCCATTCTCTTGGGATCTTGGGCACGCATGCACACACATCTGGCATGAGTTGAAGCCGCTGGGTCCGGGACTCGAACCGCAGTCGACTATATGGGAGTTCAGCAACATAGCCATTATGCTAACTGCTGAGCCATTATGCTAACTGCAGAGAGGTTTTTTTCTATAGGGCACATGTGCTCGCCAGAAAGACAGAGACAGAGAGCGAGAAATCACCCCCAAGGAGGATGGCCACGCCGCAATCCCTTGTCCATTCTCCTCTTGGGACCTTGGGCATGCACGCACACGCACCTGGCATGAGTTTAAGCCACTGGGTCTGGGACTTGAACTGCGGTCGATGACATGGGAGTCCAGTGACATAGCCATTATGCTAACTGCTGGTCCCTAGTAGTGGATTTTTAAGAGCAGAAAGATGGTTTTTATTTCCTGCCTTCTCACATGCCAGGAGCACCTTCCTGAGTCATACTTGAGGTGGTGGCAAGGAGACCACCAGTGAGCTCGAAGGTGGATTGTGTGAAGAGGAGGTCTGGACGCTATCCTAGCTTAGCTTTACCATGGTTGTGGACTGTTCTTGGCCATGGATGGAGCCTGCAGGTTAGTGGTATGGTGTCTTTCTGTTTCAGCCAGAAGCACCATTTCACTCTGGCAACTGTCTGCGGGATAGTACTTTCTGAGTTCTTGACTTCTGGATTTAGTTCCCCCACCCTAAACCATGATTTGCAGGAGTTAATTCTGCAACAAAGGTAGGTTTTTGGTTTCTTACTGTTTGGATTGTGTGATGGATTTCTTTGAATGTTAACACCTCTTTATCTCTTTCCTGATACTCTAGTTACCAGAAAAACTCTTAAGCAAGTGCAGCTGGATCAGGCAATGGAAACTTGGACTGAAATTTGATGGGAAGAGCGAGGACCTGGTGGATAAAATTAAGGAGTCCCTCACCCTGCTAAGGAAGAAGGTTTGGATCATGTAGTTTCCTGTTTCTGATCAGTGTGAAGCTCTCAATTCTGATTGCCCAGCAGACACATTCTTTGTCTTTATTCAGTGCATTGTCACCTACTTTTGGCTGATTTTTAGACAAAATCATTTTAAACAAACTTCCTATGAGGTCTTCCATAAAATGGAGAAATATCAGCATTATATATTTTTAGAGGAGATGCTGAATATCAGTGTGTCAGATAATGATATGTTTAACTTTCTTGAAAGGAAACTTTAACAAGTGGAGTCTTCGTTCTAAGTCAGAAGTTTCAAGGGTATCATCTAGTCTCTTTCTTATACTAATGCACATTTATTAATTATGCTCATGTTTTAAGATTCTGTGTTTTATTAGCCTTGTTTTCTCTCTCAGTGATTTTCCAATGAGTAGATTGAGTAACCTGTCTTTTGAAAACTGTTCTGAGGGTTTCTCTGGAACAGCATTGTAGGGAGGACTTTGTCTGCTGATTCCCATTAATTTCAGTGTTTAAAATTCTACTTTTCTGTGGCTTCCCACCATCTCCTGTTGGTCGGTTTTCTGGTTTGCCCACTGGCCTGCACTGACTTCTAGGTGGCTTGCTTTGCTCAGAGCCCTCCTCACCAGGAGCCCTCACTCAAGTGCCTATTGATTGTTCAAGGCTTTGTCAGTGGAGAAGGGGAAGGTAAGCAGGGGTCAGACATGGGCTTTCAAAGTCTTCCATAGCACACATCCAGGTGGTGATGCACTATCTTGAATATGGTCTGCTGCCCTGTTAGACTTCTAGCTCTAAGGGGGACTGTCCTGTTCTTTCTTTTGCACCCAGTGCCTAGCTCCAAGGCATGTAATAGGTATTCAGTAAATGCTTTGTTGAGTGAAAAAACTGAGGACCCTGACTTCCTGGAACCTAGTTTTTACTTATAAAGATAAGAAGTTTTTACTGGAAGATACAATGTCAAAGTCCAGTAGTGTTATAACTTCCTTCACTATAATGAAATGAGAGAGAGAGAGGAAGAGGGATTTCGTTCTCTTTGCTCATTGGAGCCATGCACAGGGTTTTGAGAAACTAGAGACCCTTGCTTACTCAGTCCCTGGGTTAGTGGAGGGTTGAGGGCAGGACTCTAGCTTTGTGTGAGTCTTCAGGAGGGCTCTTCATCTCAACTGCAGGTCACAATTCCCTTTTCAATTTTTTTAAGGTCTTGTGAGTTTGCTATTTCTGTTTTATGAGACTTGTCTACTCTATTTTTGGGTATGTTTAAGTGACACCAGTTTACGATAACATTAAAATGATGCACCAATAGTCTGAGCCAGCATTGCTAACACCACTTCTCTGCCAGGTTCTGCACTAAGATTTCTTGTGTTGCTTAATTCTTCCAGCTAGCAAGGTATTGTGCCCTGTTTTGTAGATCAGGAAACTTAAAGCACAGTTAAATGCCCTGCAAAAGCCAATAGCTGCTCAGTGGCGAGGCCTTGATCCATTCCAACCATCTGACTCTAGAGCCGTGCTCCTGACTGCCAGCTTGGTCTGCTTCTGGAAAATGTGAGATGTAGGCAGCATATTACAGCTTTCAACCCAAATACTGGCGAGAGTTCTGTGGTGCAGTCATTCCCATTAAAGTTCACCCTTTAAAATCCATAATGGTTTTTGAAGGTAGCGTTGGTTATTTGTAGGGACTGATATTTATGTTGGTATCTTTTATTCACTGTATATTTATAGGGTTTTTTTGTTCACTTAAAAAGTTTGCCTATGTTGGCTGAATATTTAGCACTGCTTTAAAAATTTGTTTTTATTCATGGAGCATACGTGTGTGTGTGAGAGAAAAGCACCCTTGCCAAGGTCTCATCACACCGCCCTCCCTCTCCCCCAGGTGTGTGCCCAGTGTTTCAGACTGACTGGGCACTGCAGTTCAGTTTGTTACTGACTGTGCCACTAGCCTGGACCTGCTTTATTCCTATTCAGCAATCAATGAGAATGTCATGTATGGATTTATTCCTGTGCAGTTCATGTATATTTTTAAGAGGATAGAGAAGTAAACTTAGTAAACTAATACTCAGGAGACTCCACAGTCTTGCTTGCTTGTCTCCCATTTTTTTGTGTTTCCAGGTGGTAACTGTCCCAGTAACCCCTTCAGACCTGGAGAAACTGTAGTTTCCCTTCACAGCTTCACACAGGCTCCACACATGCATGTTAGCTTTTCTCTAGGTATCTTTGATTGACATGTTCAGTCTCGTTGCCTTGAGAGTTAGGGGAGTCAGAATATCCACGTCATAGCCCCAGTGCTTCTTATTGCATTGCACTTTTGTTTCAAATTAATGGGGGAAAAAAGCTGAATAAGGAGTTTGCACATCTAAAGAATACCATTGTTTAAGCTGGAAAGTAGAACATTGTAAGCATTGGTACATGACCCATGGTTGCCTACTTTTGAAAATACTTTATGCTCATAGTATGGAAGTATACCAGGGACTTTGAGAACAAAAATTCTAATTATTACATAACTTTATTTCAGTGGGTAGGTTTGGCTGAAATGAGAACTGCCGAAGCCAGACAGATAGCTTGTGATGAACTGTTCACAAATGAAGAAGAGGAATACAGCCTCTATGAAGCTATAAAATTTCTAATGCTAAACAGAGCCATTGAACTATATGATGATAAAGAAAAAGGAAAGGACGTACCATTTTTCTCTGTGCTCCTGTTTGCTCGAGACACGTCAAATGACCCTGAACAGCTGCTGAGGAATCACCTGAACCAAGTGGGACACACTGGTGGCCTTGAACAAGTGAGTTGTGCCTTTGGGAGTGAACTGCTCCAGAACATAGCTGCTTAGTCAAACACGATCTCTCAGTTATTAATGGTCAGGAATTTTGGGAGCAGCGTGGGTGTTTCTGGTTCAGGGTCTTGTGAGTTGCATTGCATCTTGTTCCAGGCTGCAGTCATCTGAAGGCTTGACTGGGGCTGAGGATCTGCTTCCAGCTTGGATCCCTAAGGGGCTGTTGGCAGGAGGCCTCACTTTCTAGTTAGTAATTAGGAGGATTCAGTTCCTTGCCACATGGGCATCTGCACAGAGCTGTGTGATTGTCCTCATGACATGGCAGCTGGCTTCTCTCAGGGCTCCAAGAAGAGAGCAGGGAATGGAAAGCTGCCGTGCCTTCATGGTCTGATCTTGGAAATCACTCATCACTCACACCATGTTCTGTTTGCTAGGAGCAAGTATTAAGTCTGTTCTATTCTTTTTTTTTTGGAGAGGTTTTCGCTATAGGGCGCGTGTGCTCGCCAGACAGACAGAGAGAGACATAGAGACAGAAAGCGAGAAATCACCCCCCAGGGGGGATGGTCACGCCGCAATCCCTTCTCCTCCATTCTCCTCTCGGGATCTTGGGCACGCATGCACACGCGCCCGGCGTGAGTTTTAAGCCACCGGGTCCGAGACACGAACCGCGGTCGACTATGTGGGAGTCCAGCGACATAGCCATTACGCTAACTGCTGGTTCCCAAGTCTGTTCTATTCATGAAGGAAGGAATTAGGCTCAGCCTCCTGAAGTGGGGAGTATCAAAGAACTGTGGACTTGTATATTGGGACATCTGGAAAGTCATGACACATTTTTGCATAGAAAAAGACATCATGACTTTCCCAGTGACCTAATATGTAAAATATATGTATTATATGTATGTATTGTGTGTGTGTGTGTATATAAATTTTCTTTTTTTTTTTTTTTTTAGGTTTTTGCCATAGGATATATGTGCTTGCTCAAGAGACACAGAGGGAGGGAGGGAAAGTACGAAATAACTCCAGAGGGAGGATAGCCACACTGTAATCCCCTCCTCCATTTTCCTTCCAGGATTCTTGGAACTCATACATACATGCCTGACATGGTTTTGAAATTGCTGGCTCCGGGAAAACCATAGTCGGCCATGAGGGAATCTGGTGCCCCAACCACCATGTGACCTGCTGGCCCTTGTGGACATACTGTTTTTTTTCTTTTAAAGAATTACTTGTTTATTTAATTCCATTTGTTGTTATTTTTTAACTTGACCAGAGAGAGGGAGGGAGGGAGGGAGTCAAACCGCTGTTGCCCTGTGGGAATCCAGTGCCATTAACCACCATGCCACCTGCTGGTCCTCTCTTGCGGACATATTTTATAAACACTACCATTACCTTAGCCTGGACTTTCTTTTGCAGAGCATGGTAGAATTAGTACCCTCGGCTGTAGGAGGCAACAAATAAATGAAGTACTTGGAAGAGTCATCTGAAGGGTCTTGATTAATCTTGGCAGCTGTACCTACATTAAAAATATAAATGAAGGGGGGCCGGCAGATGGCATGGTGGTCAAGGCAGCTGGACTCCCACATGGATGACCGTGGTTTGAGTGCTGGACCTGGCAGCTTGCTCTCTCACTTTCTCTCTCTCTCTCTCTCCTCTTCTCCCCATCTCCCTCCTACCCTCCCCCTCCCTCTCTGGTCAAAATAAAATAAATAAAAGTTTAAAAATAAAATAATTAAAAATAGAAACGAAGTCACCTCAGCCACAAGAGCCCAGCCTGGTCTTGGATTGTGTATAGATATGCTGAGTTTGAAGTTTTACATAGAGACTCAGTTCAGCACTGTCCTTTAAGCCAGTCCCATGAGTCACCACACATTACTACACTGTGCACTCTTTGGTGTGTTCATTACATTTCCCTAAGAACTCTATGACTTACCCTCCTTCCCAGTGGAATAGTCCACCACTAAGGTAGCATTAGACAGGCTGTCCATCCCGTGTGCCACCTTCCTGCTTACGTTCTGAGTCTCTGCCTGCCTTTTCCTGGAAAGACCCAAGTGCCAGGACAGATACTGCAAGGACTGGAGAACTGACTCAGGTCCCCCTCTGAGCTGTCCTGCAGGGTATGATTCTAGTATATTGTTTTTAGGG